CAGTTACAAGCAAGGCATTGAGCTACATGTTTAGAAGGACCTAATGGAGATGCTGTACTGATCCCAGTGAGAGCATAATGGGCACTGCCAAAGGGTCTGGGGCGCTAGAGTTCAAAGTCCAGGGAGGGACTGGTCACTCAGCAAAGAGGTCCCTGAGCCATCTGGCGTGTGGTGAGCGGGCGCCATAGGTACGTTGGAGTTGGGCTCAGCCTGGGTTCTCCTGAGAGCAGAGTCTGGGAAACCACTTGCAGTGGCAGCCGACCTGGACGGTGTACCCCAGGAGTTAGAGCGAGTGAGGACCCGGGGTGAATGCAGCTGGGAAGCTGGAAAGGCCAGGTCAGGCGCGCTGGGAGGCCGGCCAGCCCCGGCAGCTCCCGCTGCATCATGGGCCCTGCTGACGGAACGTGCAGAAGTGCATCCTCGGCCTGTCCCTGGGATCCGCCCAGCCCCAGACCCCACAGGCCAGGTGGACCTGCTGACCGAGGGCCACATTTGGCTCACAGGTCAAAGTTTGCTGACCTCATATGCCTTGATGGACAGGTGAGATGCCTAGAAAATTCTTGCATAAATATGAAGTGACTTAAAAGGCAGATTGTACTGGGCCCATTTTACTTTTAGAAAATACACAGAATATTCTACATCTTTGTGTGTGTGTGCGCGTGTATGCATGCGTGTACATACACAAACAGTCATGGATATAGAACCAGTTTTTATAACGTTTGGGAAGTCAGTAATTGGCCCCTACTGGCTGTTGGTATTGGTGTTTGAAGATGACCCAACCGGCCACATGTGGTGGGGAGGGAACCACCTTCATACCTATTAAGTGGATTCTCCGGGGGCTCAAAGAAGGCCCGTCCTCTGCCTGGGACAGGACCACCTAGCCCGGGACATGAGCCAGCACACCCCTTACCCTTCAAGACTCCATGCCCTATCATTTCCTTCACAGGGTCTCTGGAGGTCATCCTCAGCTTGGTGCAAACCTCCCTCCTGGGGAGGGAGGAACTGCTTGTCCCCATCTGTCCCACTGCTGAGCAGCGAGCTCCTCGTGAAAATAGTGTGAGTTTCATCTGTTTGTCTCTACTGCTCTCAATGCCTGGTACCCATGAGGACTTGGTATGTGTTTGTTTAATACACGAATTAATTTTCAAGGACTTTGCCCAAACTCTGTTGGTCGTAAGAGACAGAAATTCCATTCAAATATCTTAAGCCTACAGGACAAAGTAGTAGAAAGATACTAGAGTCTCTCATTGGACCCATAGGCAGGAATGGGGCTCCGAGCCCTCAGGATGCTTCCAACATCTGGCCTCTGCCTCACTCTGTGACCACTGCCCCCTCCACCAACAGTGACTGGCGTGCACCGTCCCGTGGCCTCCGCCACCACTCTTGCTCAGTCCCAGGATGCGATGATCCTCCAGGATGGGCTCTGACTGGCCCTGTTGCAGCTGTGTGCACACCCCTGAGCAAGCCAGGTGGGGTCAGAGACAAGGTGTTCTAATAAGACAGGCCAGCTTCCACAGGGTGGGGATTGGGGGAGAATTCACAGAACAGCATTCCGTGTCCTTGGGTGGTATGGGCCCAGGAGATGGCATCCCAGTGTCCGATGCATTCTCTCTGATGGTAGACATGACTGGCTTTCTGTCCTTGGGTGAGAATTAGCTCCGTGTGGATTTGTGCATGGTACTTCCTCCTTCTACTGGGTTTTGTTTTGTTTTGTTTATATCTCACATGAAAACTCGCATTTGAATAGTTTTTAAAAAATAGTTACTTCATAAATGTTTCACACGCCCTGACCACCTAGCATAGGGCGCATCCAGGTCTGCTCTGGGAGTGCAGTCTCCATGCTGCACCAGAATGCATCAGGGCGGGCCCCAGACCCCCTTCTGGGCACCACTGCATGGTGGAGGGAGCCCTGGGATTCAGGTCTCTGGTGCCAGGTCAGTCCCTGTTTCCTCCGGCCCGTGTTCCTGCCTTACTAAAATAATGTGTCTGGGAGTTGACTACCTTGAGAGTGCTGGCCCTTTCAGGGTGACGATGGCCGGTGGTTGCCAAGCGTGCGACCAGCGCCAGGCTGTCCCAAGCCCTTTACATGTTCCAGTTCCTTCCATCTTCATAGAAACTCAAGGAGCAAGGTCCTGTTGTCATCCTCTCACACACACGGGGACACTGAGGCAGAGGGAGGTTTGCAGTTCACCCCAGGTGGCAGGGCCAGCGCTGTGAGCACCTGAGGGAGCAGGGGCTTCCGACTTTGAGACTGAGCTTGGGTGGTGCAGTGACTAGACTGTGGGGTGGGGAGGGGGGTGCTGCTGAGAACGAGGAGCGCTGGTTCCAAGGCTGGACGGGAGGCATGAGCTGCACGGCCCTACCGACCCCCCCGACCCCCCCTCAGTGGCCCAGGCAGGAGGAGGCCTCCACCTGCAAAGGATCTGCTACCTTTCCTGGGGGGGCCTGCCCTGGGCAGGGAGCTGCTGTCTGCTCTGTCCACATACAACCTGGATTAACAGGCCCGACAGGGAGCAGCCAGGAGCTTGGTGGCAAAGGGACTAAAGGCTGAAGGGAGGGGCTTGTCTGTACTCACATGCCAGTTTGGGAGTCCGTCTCCCCAGTGTGCTCTTTCCTTCCCCTGGGCCTCTGCTTCCTGCTTTGTGGGATGAGGGAATGGATCTTATCCTTCCAGGGCTAAGGACCAAGAATTCTGGAGACCTATGGAAGGTCCCAGTACTGCTGTCTCTTGTGGCTGCAGTGGCTGCTTGGAGCCCAGATCCTGCCCATGGCCTTGGGAGAGAGAAGAGCCACCTACAGCCTTGGGGTCTTTGGAGTCTCCCCGACACTGCAGCTGACGCAGCCTGTGGCATACGGCTGTCATCAGCAACCGGCCAACAGTCAGTGAACCGTAGGGTGGAGGTCGGGGGTGGGAGGGGATACACTAGCTTCATGATGGCTCTGGTCCCAAGCCGGCAATGGGTTTGGGTCTCAGTGCAGTGGGATGGGCAGTTCCATGGGCCCTGCATTACACAGTGTCCTTCCGTGTGCTGTGCTGATAGGAAAGACCTTCTCTTCCTCCCTTCCTTCCTTCCTTCCTTCCTTCCTTCCTTCCTTCCTTCCTGGCTTGAAGGAACTGCTGGTTGGAGACAGGCATCAGCAGGAGCCGGTTCAAATGGTGACCATCTAGACCTAGGCAATGGCCTTCACAGCCCTCAAAGAGCCAAGTGGATACCCTCTTCTCTTGGCGTCCTTGTTTAATCTTATTTCTTTATTGCTCAAATTTCTACCCTGGCAGTCTTTATCACAGAGCTTCCAAATTGAAGATGGTACCCCATGGTGTAACTCATTGGGGAGTGTCCAGCATGGCTCTCAGGCTTGAATCCTGGTGGGCTGCTCTTCCCGTGGGAACCATGCTGCCATCCCCTGGGTCTTGACAATGTCCTTGACATCCTGGGAGAACCACAGGGAGAACAGACCGTGTTTTGCTTAAGGAAAAGGAAGCCCCACTTCACTGTGTGGATCACAGCGAATGACTATGGGTCTCACGTCCAAACACTGGAATGAGAATGTTGGCCTCAATTCTCTCTGAAGTCTCTCCCTCTCCTTTGTTTTTGTTCTCAGCTTCAGCATTCCCATTGCCTCAAAAGGTGGAAGTTCAACATTCCCCGTCCAGGTCCTAGCTGAGGACTACAGCAGGAGGGGGTGTGGTTCTGGGCCAGGGACTGTTGGCCTGTTTCAGGAAACGGATTTGGAGGCACTTCCTCATTTAGCTTCTGCCCCCCACCCCCACTCCCGCCTCTGCCCCAGCTTTCCAGTGGGGCGGGGGCATCGTTCAAGGGGCTTCAGTGCTGAGAGCCAAGAGGGAGTCATCTGCAGAGGAGAGTGCTGTGTGAGGACTCGGAACACGGCCACCGTGCCTGTCATCAGCTTTCTCCTGGCCCAGCCCTTGATCCCAGGCTTGTAATTTTCACTCTCTAAATTACTGGGTTAACAGAAATGGTAGCAAAACGTGAAATGAAATGAATAGGAGCACATCATGCACCTGCATTTCCAAATGATTCACAAGCCAGTGATTCTCAGCATCGTGTCTATCCCTGCAACATTGTAGGCATCAGGTGAACTGTGCGAAGTAGGTTGGGCGGAAGACACGCAACCATACCTTGGAAATGCTGCCTCTGTGATGTATGACACACGGCTCTTTCTTTGCTATTTCACTCACCTGGCCCTCCTGATGTACCTGGGAGTGGCAGGTATGATTATTCCAGTTTTCCTTGTGCAAGACTGAGGCTCAGCGTGGTGACGGGACTTTGCGTGGTTGTCTCGGGACCAGAGCCGTCCTGAAGCTAGTGCGTCCCCCTCCCCGCCGCCCTCTGGACACAGTGCTCCCTGACAGAGCCCTGCTTTCCATGTCTGCTTGTAGCCGTCCCTCCTTTTGTGTCAGGCTCTCTTCTTCACTTGAATGTGTTTCTTATCTTCTCCAGGGCTGAGGTCACTCTTTGTGTCCGCGGGAGTCCGCACTCGCTCCTTTCAGCCTTGGCAAGAAAAAGCGGAATTCTCTAAAGCAGCAGTGATCACTCCTGGCTCCTTTGTAGAGCCCAGTAAATAATTCATCTGGATTTGAGGGGTCTGACACTGAGAACGTATATTGAACCTCACGGTCACGGGCAAACTCCACGTGCAGAACTTGAATACAGCGGGAAGGAGAAATGTGTCTTTGAAATCAGAGACGACTTTGAGTGACCTGAGAACACAGGTAGAAGCACTGGAGATGGATGGACGGCAGCCAGAGAGAGTATTTTTAAGGCACGTAAAGGTCATTCTTGAGGCTTCCACATAGACACATCCCTCCAGTTGGCAGCTGGGATCTGGGAAAAAACAGCTCTGGACTTGAAAACTACTAGGCGACGTCCTAGCAAGGGCCCTTCCCAAGTCCGTCCTGCTGCACTTGATACCTGAATTCAACAAAGAAAATTGTGTCTGCCAGACTCACTGGCTGAAGTCACAAGATTCCGAGTATCATGCGGCACTCTGGAATTCCTGCAAAAACTCATCAGAAGGGGTCCACTGGCCGCCACACGGAAACGGCTGTGCCCCGGACTTTTCAGATCAAAACATTTAGCACCGAGTTGAAAAACCATGTGATGGTCATGGATTTCGTGAAGAGTAACTGCTTCCCCTCCCAGAGAAGAGCCAAAGTCTGCATCATCCGTGTGTATCAAGGCCTGAAGACAGCTGAGCAGACAGCTAGCCGCTATGAGGTATGGCCGAACCCGGGCAGGGAGCGGGGGCATATAACCTAATTCAGGGAGATGGAGCCGCTTCTCATCAGACACACCGTTCAGGTGTTTTCTCTGGTCCCGTGAATTAACCATCTGTTTGTCATGTTCCCCCAACAAATTTGGAAAGGACATTTTCATCTCTTCTCTCTGTTTTTGAAATAGGGGATGGGGGAAGCCTGTCAGATGAATGCCATTTACACATGACACACGTGTGCATTTGCGAACATTCAGTAGTGACTGCCAAGTTAATTTGTAGCCGCATTTAGGAACAGCAGTATGTTTCTTGCGAGTTATATATTCCTAGCTCTGTAAGTTTGTAATCAACTGTCTTTAAAAACAAATTCCCATTTGTTTCCAGACGTGTTACGTAGAAAAATTATCTATGACTTGCCTTGATCGAATTAAAATAAGTAGGCCTGTAAGAATGGGCTTTTCTTTTTTGCGAGTGAGTTCTAATTTTTAAACAGAAGCTACTTTGTGGTGGTGGGGGGGAACTTTGGAGTTTAGAATGTCAAAGTGAGATAAACATATCACTCAGACATATTTGTATGCTACGGCTAGGTTTAGTCACCGAGCAGTTATCCTTCAGAGTAAACACACATGAAATCTGACCAGCTCTTTGTCGTATATGGAATAAATTATGAATGTCATTATAATTGAGTCCTGTATAGCTCACTTAGCTATCTCTTTGGAAAAATGTAGCATGTAAATTACTAATGTTTTTGAAACGGTAACCTTTCTGAATGTTGATGCTGTTGTTGGGAAAGCCTTGGGCTGGAATGCTGGCAGAGACTCCAGATCTTTTGTCCCCCACCCTGGGCTTCCTTATTCCAGGGCAATGCGAGAACCTGTTCTGCAGGGTTCAAGGCTGGCTTCTTCCAGTGCCAGCCCTGGGATTGTGAATTTCCATGTTCACAACAGAGATATAAAGGCCACAGAAATAATGGTGTTAATTAAATTCAGTAATAATTGTTCATTAGTTCATTGCCCAATCAACCAGAGCAAAAGGTGTGCAATTAGAATATAATTGAAAGAAACCAGAGATATTATTATTCACAAGTAATTAATCGGATGGGACAGAATTTTATCATTGTATAATTTCCATTCAGGTTAGTTTTCGATCCTCCTGAGAGAGTAAAACTTGTTGAATTATACCATCTTGCATTTTACAGGAGTGTTCATGGCTCCAATTTAAACCTTAAATGACAAAGAGCAGCTCTTGTGTCCCCATTTTTTTAAATGAATAAAACTTCATTTATTCCCATAGCAACAGTGAAGATGGCAATGTGGAAAAGTACATCTTTGCAGGAGATTGTAAAAAGCTTCAAGTATGCTGATAGTCACAGCTGTCCTTTTTTGTGGCCCCTCCCCCACCCCCCCCAATTACCAGATATAGTCAACAAGTGGAAGTTGGGTGCCTGCTGCTTGATAGTAACTTGGAGTCTTAATTCTTATGTTAAAATGAGTCTGAGACCCTCCCAGGGCACTCAGGCCCTCAGCTGGGCGGTCCTCTTTGTCTGTGATTTGGGAAGTGGTCTAGACGGGGCCCACTTGGCTCAGGGGCAGGCCAAGTTGGAAAACCAACATCTACTTGTGCCTCCTATCCCTCTTACTTCTGAGCTCTCCTTTTTTAAAAGCAAACATTTTAAAATTTAAAATATTCTGTGTCCATCGAGCTATCCATATTATTCCCACTGGGGCATGTCAGCACCATTTAGATTAGGAATTCCAGGAAGAAGTTAACTTCCTGCTCAATTTCCAAGCTGAACTGATGATAGAGCCCAATTAACAGCCTCGGGGCCCTGTTAGACTTGGCCCCGGTGATACCTTCTCTTTCAATAGCTCCAAGGCCATGGGTTAACCTGCCTGGGCTGTGAGCATAGAGAACCTGATGGGTGAGAAATGAACAAGGTCACTAAATGAACTCTCAATGCACAAAGGTACTAGTTAATGAAACTAGATGGTTCTCCAGTGAAAGTGAGTTTTGGAAATTTTGTTTCTGTAAAAACCTTATGAATTTCAAGTCCCTCCCAGGAGGACCTACAAATCTACTTGAGTTGAGTTTAATGTCTAAAACTGGCATTTCTCTAAAACTGTGGCTTTAGTCCTGGGCCCTGTTAACCACTTGGAGATGCTGCCTCTCATCAGATGTGAGAGGTAATTTGGCCTAACTCTGTCCCAGGGGCGGTCCAACTGTACTCATTCCCTTAGTTGAATTGTCTTTTAGAAGAATGGCAGACCTTTAATGGGACACCAGACCTGTTGTGTGAAACGTAAGTAGGATGGGAGGCAGATGGCAACCAGAGTGCTGAAGATCCTTGTTTGCGAAGCCTTGATCCCTGCTGACCCCAAACTATTAAAAACACAGTGTGCTAAGGGCCTTTCTCTCCCCTCGCAGGTAGATATCTGATAAACTTCAGACAGTAAAATAGATAGAACTGAGTAATGAGGCAGAGATCTGTTTGAGTTCTGGCCACTGTCCACATTGCAAACATGGCCACATCCCCAGAGTCCTTCTAAAGCTGAGCAGGGATGGTGTTTCCATCGCTCCATGGAGCGAAACCACGTGGAATTCAGAGATGTGCTTGTGTCTCCCGGAGTGTGGATATGAGCCGGCACCTCCTGGTTGATTGCTGAGAACTTTCTGATGATGGGCACAGTCTGGGGCATGCAAGTCAAGTCTCATCCGTCTGTCTTCTCTTAGGTGATAGTTTCTAATACATTTCATCATTAGATGAGCCAGAGAAAGTTTCTGTATGTAATAATCGCCTTTTAGCTGTGCTTTTTAACATTTTCCAGAACTTATATCATTTCTATCTCTCCTTCCTACTCATCCTTTTTTTTTTTCCCTCCCCTTTGGATTTGGCAGTGCTGCTCTATTCTGGCTGACTGTAAGAATCATGGCAAACTGTTATTTTGTATTTTTTTGATATGCAAAAATTGCACACATTTAATGTACACATTTTGTTGAGTTTGGCATATGCACACACCCATGATGCCATCACCACAATCAAGGCGCTACACAGACCCATTACTTCTGAACATTTCCTCTGTTCTGTGCGTGTTACTTTTTTGTTTGTTTGTTTGTTTGTTTTTGTTGGTAAGAATGCTCAACTGAGATCTGTTCTCTTAACATACTTTAAAGTGTGTAATCCCATGGTGTTAACTATGGGCACTTCTGTTGTACATCAGAGCTCTGGATGTGGTAAGCTCACATAACTGAAACTCTACACCCACTGAGCAAAACCTCCCTATTTCCCCTTCCCTAGCCCCTGGCAACCACCAGTCTATTTTTTGCTTCCAAGATTTTGACTAGTTTAGCTACCTCGTGTCGGTGGAATCATGCACTGTTTGTCCTTTTATGCTAGGCTTATTTCACTGAATGTGATGTTCTCCAGTTTTATCCATAAGGTCACAAATAACAGGAGTTTCTTCATATTTAAGCCTGAATAATATTCATTGGATGTATATACTACATTTAAAAAATGTCAATGGACATTTGGGTTCTTTCCTTATGGTGAACTTTTAAAAACTGACTTATGCCTACAGCCCAGCCAAGGCCATTGTGACCCAGAGCGCATGTGTGATTTCACTGTATTCCTTTAAAGAGCATTGAACTTGGTCCTGGCATGAGGTGAAGTTACTTGAAAACAGTCTGATCCTTTTTGAGGCTGACTTTTTAGCACTTTAGTCTATGGTGTTAGTTCTCTGTAAATGAAGATTTTGGCCCCAGGTGATATTTGGGAAAGTCTGGAGACCTGGTTGTGACAATGCGGGGAAGTCACTTCTGGTACATACTGAGGAGAGGCCCGGGGTACTGAAGACAGTACTCCTGGGTTCAGGGCAGTCTTCTGCCCCCACTGACAAAGAATTGCCCCACCTGAAATGTTCACAGTGTGGAGGCTGAGAAGCCCTGGACAAGGGCTAATTTAGTCCCATTGTAGAGGTATGACCCTTGTGAGGGCTCTACTTAATGCCCCATGTATGTGAGATCTTTCCACCAGAGCCAGGGGAACATGAACTGTTTCCAGCTCTGGGTAAGGTTTCAGATATGACTGACCTACTACTTTCTTGTAGTTCTTTCTCTGGTCTTTTGCAGTGTTCTCTTAAGCATGCAAAAATCAGTATTCAGCTAAAGCCTGGAGGGACCCGTTGCTGGTTGCTAGAACTCTCTTTCACTCCTCTTCAGTATTTAGCCCCAAACTGTAGCTGGCTCAGCTTCTCCAGTTCCTGATCTCTGCCTTCTCTGCTCAGTGAGACACCAGGCTCTCTTGATCTTCCCCTTTATGCTCTGCAGCCTGAAAACTGCCTTTTGGTGGGGACAATTATAGGGCTCCCTTCTCTCACGCCCCCTCCCTCCAGGATCGCAGACCCCCGTTGCTTTTCGCTTGGTTTCTGGACACTATGGCTTCCTAGCTTTCATCTGTCTGTTCCATCATAGCTGGAAGGAGAAGTAGCTCCCTGGGCAGGTTTGATGTCCCACCAGGGTCAAGAGATACCACTCTGGGCTTAGCAGAATGTTTTCCTGCTGTTGGAGTGAGCAAGTGCAAGGGGCAAAAGATGAAACAACCACTCTCAGGTCTTGGTGCCGCCCACTGGCCCCATTCTTCCAGCTCCTCCCTGCCTGGGTCAGTGGGAGGCTGGACGTCAGAGGGCAGGGTTCTCAAGAGGTACAAGGGGGTCAGAAGACTGAAACTGGTTTTGTTGCCTCAGGAGGCACAGCTGGTGATTGACGTCTCCAGATTAGCTGCACTCTGAGTGTTTTGTTGTGGGTGACCTTCAGCTCGACCCAGAACACTTATAGTCTCTTGAGATCAGTCTGACACTGTTACAGCCAGCGTCCATCAGCACGTTGGGCATGGGTGGGGGACCTGCGTCATCTTTCAGCCAAACCAAGGGAGGAGCTATGGCAGGTGAATGGTGGCGATGTGCCTAAGAGGGCACTGGGTTGCGTCTTTCTGGGGTGAGTGACCCCAGTT